ATAAAGCAGATCAGCTCTGCACCACCCACCCAGCTCTGTTCGTCTCCCCACCTCCATACTCCCAAGAAGCACTGAGGTTTTCTGAAAATGAGAAATTTCACAGCATCCTGCTATCTTTTGGGTAACTGCGTATTTTATGATGACTAATAGGCAATTACTATGGTAATATTGCAATTCAGCATGTGTGAGGTTTGGGAAATGAGAAATTATGGGTAACTACTTTGGACTCATTTCTATGGTAACAAAAAGTAATTGTCATTAAATACCAGTTATACTGAGGCTGTACCTGGTAATTATAGATTTTTATGCCCAGAAACATAAATAAAACCAATAAATTTATTCAAAGGTCTACGACTGTTTACTTATACGTGACTCCATGGAATACACAATGACAAGCACTAATTAAGAAATGCAAACCCAACATAGAGTTTCAGATTGTCATATGGAGATGGAGAGTCTGTTTTTTAGATGCAAGGCAACTTGTGCATTACGCATGCTCAGTAGAAAAGCAGTAGGGTCTAGGTGGGGGCAGGGGCTGTGTTCTCTGCAGAGGAAGTGACGGAGAAGAGGAGGTGCAAGAGAGACCATGCAAACACTGCAGTGAGTGTGGGCAGCGCTCCTCTGCAGGACACTGAGAGGTGCCAGCCATTAGAGACTGACTCAGCTCGCGCCTCCTACCCCAAAGGTCTTCCACTAGGAGTTGCCTGGCAGCTTCCTGGCTCTGTAATAACTGAAGCTCTGGGACTCATTCCTCAACACCCTGAGGCTTCAGAAACCCTAGGACTCTCCAAAAATGTTCATGTGGCAACGTCAGTGATAGTTTATTGTGGTAAAATATAATAACCTAAAATTTACCATCTTAATCATGTTTAAGTACTCAGTGGTACTAAACACACTCATGGTGTAGAGTGGCCATCACAACCACCTGCCTCCAAAACACTGAATCTTGTGCCCACCAAACCATAACTCCCAGTCTCTTGTCAACCTGCCTGTGTGACTTGGGCACTCTAGGAGCCTCCAGTCATGGGACTCATACTATATCTGTCTTTTTGTCACTGTTTTCACTTAGCACAATGCCCTCAAGTTTCACCCAAGCTGTAGCTATAGTACTCCTGACGGCCGCTTCCCAGTGTTTCTACTAATGGAGAGAAGGAGAAGGTGTCTTTCACCTCATTTTCCTCTTCCAGGAAACTGAGGCCAGGGCAGAGAAATGTCTTGCCCAAAGACAAGAAGGCTCGGGCAAGCAGGGAAGATTAGATTTCTGGCTTCCTGCTCCCACCACTGGCAGGTAGGGCAGAGGGGGTGTCTGGGAGTGCGGAGAATCCCATATGGACCCCGTGGCCTTGAATGTGGCTCTTCACTTTCACCGCTTCAGCTTCCCCCTTTATCCAGTGGATATAATAAAAACTGTCTTTCCTTCTTCAAAGATTTGTGTAATAGTCAAATGTGGGTTTTCGTGCCTTTAAATGTATAATGAAGCTTGATTGCAAAGTGTAGCTGTGAATCCAGAGTTTGTGAAATCCTAACAGCGACTCATCAGGGTATTCTTGTCATGCCAGCATGCAGCTGAAAACAATAGTGGTCAGGAAACCATGTAGGTCAAGGTAAAGGGTTGGGAGCTGACCGCACTGGTGACAGCAACTTTACACTGGGGCTCGCACCTTGTGCCCCAGCACAGTCACTGAGCACTGCCATTCATTTATTAAAAAATAAGTATTAAAGGTCCCTTCTGTGCCAGGCACTGTACCAGCTTTGGGGAAACAGATTGACAAAGTCCTGACTTCATGGAGCTTGCAGCCTAGAGACAGAGACAGGCTTTAAATAGCCAACAAACAAACACAGGATTACAAATCGAGGTACAGCCTAAGAAAGCACAGGACAGAGAGACAAGACTTGTCTGAGAGACAAGAATGGGAGAGCCCTGGACGTCCTTCTGTGCAGTGGAATTACAGCTCACCTCAAGTGCAAAAGGCCAATCGTGTAACTGCAGTGAGGGGAGTGGGCCAGAGTGGCTCTCAGCCCTGTGTCCTCATTATACGCCAAATAGAACTGCTCTCTGCTGCCGGATCGCCTGTTCTGGCAGTGCTGTCATGTATGTTCTAGGCCCCATCTTCAGCCTAGGCCCTCTCTAGAGGAGCCACAGGCTGGTGGCACACCGGGCAGTCTAGTTAGCAAATGCTGCTGCTTTTTAAAACAAGAGCATTATCTACCATGGGGTGGCTGCCACCATTCACAATTGAATGTGGGAGTGTACTGTGTCTATTTTACCATAAATACCACAGTGTAGGCACCTGGTTATTAAATGTAAGCTTTGCACTATCAAATCTGGGCAACCTATCCTTTTAGACTAGGTTACAGGTTTCCTTCATGTAGAAAGTGAATGAGGAGGAGGAGGAGCTATCTTGAGGGCAGGTCTGTCTCTTGTTCCACACACTGTCTCTGAAATGTCTGGGGCAGGTTACAGGGACAGCATAGGCCACAGGGAGGAGCAGGGCGCAGCTGGGACAGGTCTTCACCCCTGCCTGCTCCTCACAGGCCACATGACCCAGGGCAGGTTATTTAACTTCATTGAGGCCTGAGAGCCTGAACATCCTGTGGGTGCTGAGTGCAGTCAGAGAGCATGAGATAGACGGCACATGGCCATCTGCACTCTAGAGACATGGTCAGCTCCTGTGCGCTCTGACTCTGTTAACTGCCTTGGGATTCTGACAAATATTCTCCCTCCTCCCTCCTGCCCTCTCATCTTTTCTTCTTATCCCTTCCATCTCGCTCTCTTCCCTCTATCCTCTGCTTGAGATTCCTGTCTACTAGCATATTCAAAACTCCAAAAAGTCTTGCTAGAAAAGAACAAGTGTAGTTTTGCTTAACTCTGTGTTTTCCTAACTTGAACTCCAAATTCTTTTTCTCCACAAGGCCTGGGCAAGCCCCACCAAACTGGGACAGATGTCCTGTCATAGTCAGGGGATAGCTCTGGGAGGGGTTGGCATGAGGACCACTAAGGTGTCTTGAAGCTCTCAATTCTGAGTCTTTATTATTTTTGTGTTATCCAAAGCTTTAATAGTGAATTCTCGTGATTGATGGTCCTGCTACTCAGAGCTGTTTCAGCAACAGGATTAATGCCTACGGTTAGAGATTTTCTCCATCTTTCATAACGATTTTCTCCAACTTTCACATTCTTACTAGGAGAATGTTGGGGTTTCATCTTCAGGACAACACCATTTCTTATCCTGAAATCCCCAACCCACATCATCTGGAGCTGAAAGACATGGAAAGCCTCTGCTTCCTAATCACCATCCAAATGGCAACCTGAAGCCCAGACAGGGCAGGCATTTTGGTCAAGGTCCAAAGACCTCTTTCAACTCTTCATCCCTGGACAGTAGATGATGACATAAATAAGTGTGTTGAGGAGACAGCATTGACCTCTCTCTGACCACTGCTGCCCTTGTAATTAAACAGAAATGGTAACATAAATCAAATGGTCTTTCCACCTCCATTATCACTCATGGAACATTCTGTCCAGGGAAGGTGGGACAGCATAGCTTTCAGGCCTGCAGTGAGCCATAAAGCCTGCTAAGGCTAACGAACCATCACTCGAGCCAATTAAGAGAGGAAGCAAACTGTCTTTAATTAAGGCGTCATGCATCCCAGGGGTATTAGGAAGCCCCTCTGGACCCAATTGCCATGTGCTTGGAAAGTAGTAAACCAGCTCTTTAAAATGGCTGGATATCAGGAAATCTGAGATCTAGTTTGACCCCTGGCACTAGCCTTGGGGACATCCCATTACACCCCTGGGTCTCAGTTTCTTCATCAGTAAAGTCACACTTTGCCTTCACTCACATCCCTCAAATACTCTTCAGCATCTGCTATGTGCTGAGCGCCATTGCCAGGCACCAGGGACAAGAAGATCATTCAGGTCTCTGGTGACTTGAGGTAAGACCTGCTCCATGAACAGACCTGCAGGGTTCAATGAGGTGAGTGATCTGCTCTTTTGGGGTTTGTGGGAGTATTTTCCAGAAGAAGGGGCATGAGCCGAGCTGTGAAGAAGTGTTAATTAATGAATTAAGAAGGGCTGAGGAGGTTCTGGGCAACCTTTCTGAAAGTAAGACTCAATAACCCAAAAGGTTTATGGAACCAGGCTTTGCTTAGAGTGACCAGACCAACAGCTCTGAGAGCAGAGGCAGAGGTGAGGTGGACAAGTCACTGGGTCACACCGAGCCGTGCATGCAAAGTGAAGGAGTTTGCATATTAAATTGAAAGTTATGGGACCAGTCATCTCTAAAGCTGTATCATTTGAGCAGTGAAGCTAGACAGTCAGTGATTTACTGGCAGTGTGACTTTGGGCAAGTCAGTTGCCTCAACTGTGAGGCACTAACTATCTCAGAGGATTCAAAGTTCTTTTGGCAGACGATGCCCCGGGCAGTGGAATTTTAGGCTGCAAATCATGGTGCTGTGCCAGGAGAAAGAGTTCAGAATGTGAGTGCTGGATGAGTGTGGGCTAGCTGGTGTGCTCACACCAAAGAGAAATGCTGCTCGGATGAGCTGGGAGCTCCTCTCCTCCATTAATGATGGCCAAGAGGAACACAGATATGAAGCAACAATCTTTGCTCCACCACACAATATTCCACAAGGCACATTCATCCCTGCCATTTCTTTTGGTGCTGCATCTGCCCTGCCAGGTAAGTGATTACTGTCTTCATTATACAAGAGAAACAGCACCAGAGAGGGCAAGTGAGTTCCCCAAGTTACACTGGAATAAATGCCAAGACTCATGCCAAGTCTCTTTATTCCTGGTCCAGCAAGCTGCTCAGAAAACCCCAGCAAGTGGTGACTGTGCATAAAGCAGTCAAGGCTTATTTGTCGCAGCCTCAAGAACCAGGGTGAAGCTTCTTCTAATGAGTAGATTGAAAACTCTTCCTCATATATATATCCCCTTTTTTTCTTCTTGCTTGTATGCCACCATCCATGATATCATCTTCCACACAGTCTCCCATGTCCCTCACCTGTAATTGCCTAAGTAGACGCCATCAGGGTTGAGCATTGGTGCAATCTTGAAGACCAGGTGTTCCCGTAGCACACGAGCAATAGGGTGCTGGCTGATGAGGAAGTCAATGATCCCTAGAGAAAGAGAAACATCTGGGTTAACTTCAAAGTGCTTCAAGCAGGAGGAAACACATTTTTCTCAGCCTAGAAAACATCAAGTGCTCAAGAGGAGATTTTTGACCTGTGTTGTCAGCCACCAGAGGCATGTGGCTGTGGACTAGCTGTTGCCCCATGAATGTCACAGACACATCTCCATTGCCCAGAGATAGTCCAAGACATATTATCGAAGGCCAAGGGCAGAAGGGACAGAGCCACCACTTCCTACTAACGAGCTCTGGGAGGCTTTGAGAATAGATCACCCTGGAGCTGTGCCTTAGAGACCACACTGTGTTTTGACAAAGTTGGGGGAAAGGCAGGATAACTCTGAAGGGTAAATGAAGAGCTTCTTTCGAGTGGACACACTGCCAGCTGGACACTGACACCTGATTTGACAAATGTGGAGTCAGGAGCCTGAGGAATATAAATCCTTGTGTTCTCACGGGCACACCATGACGCAGAGAGGCGAGGGATTTGGTTAAAGTCCTACGATGAGAGAGCTGTTTCTTCAACAGTCCTCCACTCTGGTCTTTTCCCCACTTTGCAGCTCCTTTGTTCCCAGACTCTGGGATTCATTGCTTCTCACTGGCACCAACACCACCTTGCCTCCAGGCCACCAAATCTACAAGAGTTGAATTCTCTGTGACTCTCCTGCACTCAAGGAGTTCCCAAGTCTCTTTCTTACATCTCTGACTTCCCCCCTCATCTCTATCCCTCTGCCTCTCTCCTGCTCTGAGGCACCATCTCATCCAGCCTGGGCTGAGCTAGGCAACTACCTCTGGAATGCACCCTCCCCACTACAGCCAGAGGGCTCTTCCTAAAGTGCAGATCTGAACCTGCCACTCTCCTCATTCATTTCCTCTGAGAGATGGGAGAGTGCAGGGTCCTCTCCAAATGCAGCTGGAGAGAGCAGAAAGGGGCATCCTGGAGAAAGAAGCTTTTGCGCTCAGCTCTGAAAGATAAGTGGGCTTCGATGAGAGGAAGCAGCAGGATAACTAAGGACACCCATGTGCCCAGTGGCAGGCACTGAGCGCTTGGAAAGACACATTACTGCTGTGACCAGTGAGGGACATCTCAGCGTCCATTAGGCTGGGGCTGAGAGTCCACTGACAGCCAAAAGCCAGTTGGACATCATTTACGTCGAGGCTGAGGCAGCAGCTGACCAGATGCCCTAATTTATTTGTTGGTCCTCGTACGAAAGCTGCAGTTTGCCAGTAAAAAGCAGGGTAATGATGCCAAGTGCCCTTGTTAGGGGCTAATAATTGCTTAATTTGTCCACTAATTGACCTGGCTCTGGGGGCAGCCCTCCATCAAGGAGCCAGCCTGCTCTTGAGGCCTGGCCACGCCGCCTCTGAGAATGGCTTCTGGAAATGGAGAAGCTCATTGTGATCCATCCTCCTTCATAGATGAGCAGATTAATTGGGCTGCCAATTAGGCAGTTAATGAAAGGATGAGAGAAAACAAAGCCAGGCCAGAGGTTGCAGCCACCCAGAGCTCTCCCTCTCCCAACGCGAGTGCGGGGCAAGGAGAGAGTTTAAGTTTAGACTCATCTCTTGGTTTCAGGCCAGAGTTCATCAGGAAACATTTCCACTCATCAGGAGACTGAGAGATCTTTCACCTTTTACCTGGTGGGTGAGGGAGAGGGAGTAAGAAGAGAATATGAGGAGAAACACCAGAGAAAGTAAGTGGAAAGGAAAGGCTGTCCTGACCACAGGTCAAAACATTGCTTGGACAAAGGAGGCAGAAAGACATGGAGGTGGGGCCGACCACAAATCCTAATTGGTTGTTGGGTAGAGAAATTTCTAGCTTTCTATGATACATTTTTTTCCAGCTCGATATAGTAATACCTACTGGAAAACCACTGTATGACTGGGTGAGAACGCCTCCATTTTAACTGTCTGCCACAGCTCCTGAAAATTGTGATGGACTGCAATAAACCCATTTAGATCAGAGGTTGAAAGCATGGGGGTAGTGAGAAACAGAATTTGTTTGCAAGTTGGAGTCCTGGTTTGTACAATTTGCTGACTATGGGCTTTGGGGACAGGACACCAGATCTACAGTCAGAAAACTTGGATTCTAGTTTGGCTCAATTACTGAGTGACTTTCAGAAAGACTCTGGTCCTATTCTCATCTTTATAATTAGGAGAAAGAACCCAATAATTCCCAAGGACTCATCCCGCACTAACAGTCTGTGGTTCCTCTACCTCAAAGGATAAGAATCTTCACCTGTTAAGTGAGGAGCACAATCTTCCTCCTTCTGGAGACACAACCAACCCCCTTAAGTCTCTCTCCCTTCAGGAAACAAGTCTATGGTTCCCTTCCTTCAAGCTCATTTAATGGGAAGATGGAAGAGAGCAAGACAACAGAAGGCTTGAGTAGAAGGAAGCATGGCAGGGAATTTGAAATTAAAACTGTACTTAGTGCACAGTGCGCCATACATCAGGTGCCTAATAAATGCCCTAGTACATTGGTCCCAGGAACTCATTAGAGCTTGATAAAGTATAGGGTTATTTGAATTGATAATCATTCATTCCACAAACATCCACATTGGATGTTTGGAGTAATGATGATGGATGGTGGGGTGTCCTTAACGTGGGTTGGGATATAGTGGGGAGTCAGATATAGCAGAGAGAGTCTACAAATTTAAGAGCCTTGACACAGGGGGGACCTGCATGGGCTCTGCAAGGCCCAGAGGGCTGCGGGGTGCTGTGGGTTGGGGGAAGTAGTGTGGCTAGATGGTGAGGCTGATAACAAGGCTATTTGCCTACCATTCCCAAGAGCTCAGAGCTCTTGATTGATGTCACACAATCTGAAGGGAAAGAGATGCCCAAAATGACTGAGATTAAGTTTCTGGCCTCTGGCACAATGTGTTCTCAAAATGGAAACTGAATTCTGTTTTAAAACCCAAGGAAAGTCACATTCCCCATACCTGCGAGTTTAGGGGCTTAAGGTTTGCATCTGCTGTTCAAGTCTGTCTTCCCTTCCAGGAGAAGAAAGCCAGGTCTACCCCTTTGCCACTATTTTCATGATGCCTAGCTCAGTGCTGGTGCAGGGAAAGTCCTCCACAGGGATGATATTAATGAATAATAACGGACCAGTGATGGGCCCTCTGTGTTCATTACCTGGAGTGAGTTGTAACTCCATTGGCTCCATTTTACAGGCTGGGAAACAAAGGCAGGGTGCTGACCACACTTGCTAGGGGCCTAGATGGCATTCAGACCCAGTTCCAGTGGCTTTGAAATAGCATTCTTTTTATTAAGGCAAGATGGGAAGAGCCAGGAGTCTAATTGTGTGTGATTTGCAGAATGATTTGCATATATGCCTGCATAATTTTCTCTCTAGAGAGCTCTGTGTAAAGTTTATTGTTGCTATTCTCTGCCAAGAGGCAGCATGCTCTAGTGGGAACAGCCCAGGCTGGAAGCAAGAGAGCTGAGGGTCTCTGCGGGGCCCAGAATGTGGGACACGCAATAGCAGCTACTTGCAACCCTCCCATGACTGGGCACCAAGCCTCTGTCTGCCTTCAGTCATGTCAGCGTCCCCAAATTATGGAATCATAGGGAGTCTGATCCTGAAGAACCTGAAGTTCAGAGCGGAAATTCTCACCCTCCCAATCTCCCGGTTCTGCCCATTTCATAGATGAAAAGATTAAGGAAGTGAGCAACCCCATCATGACTCCTAGGGTTCTGATTATAAAGGGGGCTGTTAGCGCTCTCTATAGAGAAGACAGAACAGGTGAGGGATAGCAGTGGGAGGAAAGGAGGAGGGGAAGGGAAGAGACCTAGGGACAAAGGTCACTATTGCACTGCTGGGGGAGGGGAATATTGGATTGTGATTACTCCTGGTGGTTCTGCTAAGTGAGTGGGTGGTGTCCGGGTGTGTATGTGTGTGTGTGTGTTCTTCTCCCTGCTCCTTTTATTCCCACAGAAAACCCTGAGCACTGGACTCCTTGGGGGAAGACCCCTCTATCACATTCTCAATGCCAGTGGGCACTTGGGTGCGGAGCAGAATGCCCATTGAATCCCCCAGAAGCTCCTGAAGAACTACCTGCTGCTCCCATTGTGCAGGGGAGGAAACAGACTGCGCTAGCCATGGACTTGCCAGGGGTGCCCAGCTAGTGGCAGGACTCAAACTCTACATAAACAAGGAGGCTCCAGCTAGGACTCCAGCAGATTGCACAGGGTAGGGGGCACACAGCCGAGGAGTCACACACCCAGGTTTAGGTCACAGAAAGATTAGAAGACCCATGCCTGGGGCCTGCAAAGCATCAATTATCGTGCTACTTAACACCCTATTCCCCATAATACTTTAGTGTCTTCTGTATTACAGACACCATTCTCAATTCTTAGTTATTAACTCATTTAATCTTTACAGCAACCTTATGAGGCAGGATTCTGATTCTGATTTCCCTTTGGAAGCAAAGGACCCAAGGAACGCATGGGAAAGTTGTGGAACTTTCCCAAGGTCACACTGTAGGAAGTGGAGGAGCTGGGATCCAACCCCAGGCAACCTGGCTCCAGAGACCTTGCTCACACACACTCTGCTACAGGGCCTCACAGGGCACCTTTGCATGTTCACAATGTAACTGAGGCCCGGGAGAGTTTGTCCTCATGGAGGCCAGGATCTAGGCTTGGGGCAGCAGAGGGGGACTGACATTTCGCTGCCTATCCATCAAGCAGAGCCTGAGGGAGCCAAAGCCCCCCACCCCCAATGCTGCCCCTTCCAGAGTTTTGTGATGACATGACTCGCTCTACTCCCAGCAGCAGGTGCGTCAGCAGCTCGGCTGGGAGAGCTGTGGTCCCAGCCAGATGGGGAGGACCAGGCCCCACATGTCTGTTCCCAGCTCAAGGTCAGTGAGCCAGAAATGGAGAAGAGTTAACAGAACCAACATGATCTCAGTCATTGTCCTTCTAGGCCTTGGACCTTCCTGCCCTCCCCAGAACAGGGAGGGTGTGGGGTCAAGCTGAGATCTGGGTCTGCAGCAGAAAGCCCAGCTGAGTGAGGCCTGTGGGACTGTGGTCCGAGCTGGCCCAGGCATCTGAGATATTCTTAGGAAAGGGTATATCTCCATGCTCATTGGTAAAGTGGGGAAATAATACCCATCTTTACTGCTTTGAAGAAGGATGAATTGTGTGTCTTAAGGGACTATTACAGAGATAGGAAAAAAGGCGGACTGGACTGGGGAGATGGTCCCAGGGTGAGAGCTGCCATGAGCCAGCTGTGTGACTTTGAATAAGCCACTTCCCTGAGCCTCCACATCCTCATCTGTAAAATGCACATTCATTGCTCTGGGGTGGCTGGAGTGCTATTTTCTTCCAAGCATGAAGTTTGACCTTCTAGGATTTTCTATCCCTGAATGGGGTAAAGGAGTCTTGGGAGCCAGCCAGACCCAGATTCAAAACATCTATCTGCTATTTACTGGCTGTGTGACCTTGAGGCTCCTCTCTCTGAATTCAGATTTAGTAGCCTGGAGCCAACACAGCATTTATCTCTCACAACAGCCCCATGAGATGAAAACATAATGCCCCTTTTATAGATGTAGAAAATGACACTTGAAGACCCACCCTTGGCCTCAAATAGCTCGTGGTTTAAAGGGACATAAAGCAACATAAATCAAATAGGTTATAAATCAGGATAATAAAGATCACCTCCAGGTAAGCCCCAATGCAGGTACAGAGCAGGGGGCTGGAGGGAGTAGGCTGAGGGCTTATATGGGGTACTTGAAATAAACTTTGAGAATGGGAAGTGTTTGCCAGGTACAAAGAGAATGTACAATATCTTCTAGGCAGAGCAGCAGATGCAAAGGTCTGGTGGTAGAGAGAAGATTGTCTACTCAGGCATTAAGCTCTGCAAGGCTGGGTTATAATGAGGCTGAGGCCAGAGAACCTGGCAAGAACCAGATCATAGAGATCTGAATGTCATGTCAAGGAGTTTGGAGTTGATCTTGAGATGGTAGTGGGAAGACATTAAATGACTCTGCCAAGGAGTAAACATTGATTGAAAGCCTGCAGGACAGCATGGAGTCTGTCAACTCAGCACCATCCAGATTCCTTTTTTGGAAAAACATGCTCAACAGAGAGAGCACCTGAGATCAATTCACCATCTCTACACATGGGCCCTTGTCTGTAAAATGGGATGGTGACCCTGTCCTCTGTCTACTGCCCATGGAGGAGGTGGGCACAGGAATTTGAACTTGCAGGAATAAAGCTATTGATAGTAAGACTGCTGTATTTTTTACAAACAAGGACAAAATAGGTGCCTCTAATCAGCTGGGGAACAGGTTGGCTGCCAAGTTTAGTATCTGACAGATGGCTGCAAGGGGTTTGTAAAACCAGGAGAGACCAAGGAAAGGTAATCGCAAGGACAATGCTAGGGACAAAGAGACTGGAAGGAGTAAAAGCTAAGATGACTGGAGTGAGGAGTCGGGACATGCCAAGAATTGTCTTTGGTCAATTCCTTCTTATTCCTGAAATAAGGTCTCCTTGTCTAAAACAAGGGGGACGTAATTGTGCCTAATCACAGCACTGGAAGAACATGAATGTGAAAAATACTTGCATATTTATTTGCTTATTGTGATGTTTATTTGCAGATCACCTGCCTCACCATCCCCGATTCTGTGGGGGAGGATGTGACATCTGTTGAGTGTCTGCTGTGGGCCAGGCACAGGACTGGGTGTTTGTTTGTATTCATCTCATGCCAGCTTCATAACAGCCTTTTCAGACAAGCACTGCTATCCTGATTTATTTTACATTTGAGGAAACTGAAGTCACACTGCTAGGAAGTGGCAGAGCCAATATTTGACCTCCGAATTGTCTTACTACAAATCTCCTATACTTTCATAGCAGCATGCTGCCTCCCTCAAGTTATATAAACACTGTGGGTTTTTTAATCTCCTTTTGACCTCATGATCATTTTGAGGTTAAAATGAGTGAATAGATAATTTCAGTTCTTACTTCCCCAGTTCACTGCACTTCTACCAACATACACACTGACTTGGGCCAGATTTCTTGTTTTTATAAGCCACTGAAGACAAGTAAAACAGAGCTAGGGAAAGTAGATGACTGTGGTTCATCCTCAATGCAGCACATATGAGAGAACTTCATTCAGCCCTTCCTACCTAGTCACCCATCTGTCCATTCATCCATCCATCTGTCCATCCATCCATCCATCCATCCACCCACCCACCTATCTATACATCCTAGCAGACATGTAGTCAATAAACACTTTTTGAAATTAGTCTTAATGGAGATCAAGTATAACCTTTTTAAAGAAGTGAAGCAAAGTCCTATCCAAGATAATGACTTTCATGTCACCACACTGTTCCAGAGACTGCCACAGTGTTCCAGTTGGATCCATAGCACAGGATGCCCATGATACTCTGCAACTTACCTTGGCACACAAATGAAGAGGGTGTTTCTCCTGGGTGGACTCTTCCTGTGATGAATACCACCTTTTGTTCTGCCCCTTCCCGAAGATTGTCTGTAAAATAAAATGGAAGACTGTTACTACAGAAGACAGGGAAAACTGAGAGAAGGGGTTGATATATGGTGGAGAGAGGGGAGGGCATGGGCTGGTGCTCTACATTTGCCTCTCAAATTATTGGGTTAGAACCATTAAGGCTCAGTCATTGCTGACTAATTAAATTATGTCCCTAGTTACTCAATATATAAAGACAATGTTCCCATTCCTTGTGCAACTGATCACGGTATTTTGATCAACTGAAAAAGTCATAAGAGTAAAGTAAAATCCCAGATCTAGGCAAGTGTGTATCCTTTCTGGTTTTCAATCTGCTAAACTCTAAATATGTTTAGTAATATCTACTTCATAGGATTGTTGTAATGATTTTAAAAGCTTATATATTGTACAGTACACAGTAAACATGCCATAAATGATGGAGTAATCAAAGTAGCTATTTATAATAATAATAGTAATACTACCAGCTGCCAGTTAATTGGCCCCTTATAGATCAGATACATAATACTTATTATTTATACTCCTTACCAAAGCATGCACAGTTAATACTTTTTTATAGAAGCAGAAACCAAGGCTCAGTGAGGATGGGTGTAGATCTGAGATTAGAACTCAAACCCCTGTTGGATCTTGATGATGAACCAGATTTCTCTTTCACCTTAAGCAACTAGAAAATTGGACAAAATATACAAAACAATTGCTTTCAGATACTGGACATAGATGATGCAAAACTACTCCATGGAAAAGGGGGAAACAAAGGAGGTATGCCCTGTTATTGCCCTGGCTTTTTGCCTAGAGACCCATTCCAGACCAAAGACCAGAGAAGGGTATCTGAGCAAAGTATGGAAGTCACTGAGATTAGAGTTCTGAGAATCAGAAGTAGGTGGCAGTTGCAGTAAATTGTGTGTTCCAGAGAAGAGGGAGTTCTATAGAAAATAATTCCAGAAATCTGTAAGAGTCCTCATGAGTCTTTCTTCCATCCCAAGATGTGCACACAGAGAGTGGTTCTCCACAATTTCATGAAAAAGTGACCACTGAGCTGTGAACTGTACAGGGCTCACAAAGGATTAGCAATCATTAGAATTCCAAGTTGGAAGTCCTCACTGATCATCCAGGGCATTCAGTATAGAAGACAAAAAAGGCTATACCTTAGTTGTGGGGTTAAACTATTTTAGATTCATTCTAACAAAATTTCAAAATAAATCTCAAAAGGATAAACTAAACAAAAGAAATATAACTCTCTGTTATACAAAGCCCAACTTTCTTTAAAGGAAGACAACAAAATCCAGATATGCAACAATGTATAATTCATAATATTCAACATTAAATGAAATTAGGTATGTCAAGAAGTAAGAATAGGACTCAGAATCAGAGCCTAAGCTCTTGCTGCCTCTAAAAAAGTCTCACTTATATAATAAAATGTAGCTATTATGCACAAATTTTATTAGACAAAAGCAGTAGTCAAGAATGTCATTCTTAGAACAAAGAGGCCAGGAAGGGAAGTTAGCCAGCAGCAAAGGAAGTACTCAATGACACAGAACAAACAATGACCTGAAGGAAATTCTGAAATGAACATAGAGAGAAGTTGGATTAAAGAATTCTATCTATGCTAGAAAATTTTCTGGAGGGAAGGGGGTATTAGAAATAATAAGCTTTCAGTTTCAGAAATGCCAGAGATAGGTCATTTTGATTATGGCCCATGTTCTCAAGTTAATGGATCAATGTAAGAGACTAAAATAAAATTTAATGACTTTATTAAACCTAGTCCTAAAGGTTTGGGACTTGCGGGGACAATTGGAGTGAACAGTGGGGATGAGGTCACTGCTTCCCTAATATGGTGCCTCTGAATGTCAGCAAATATGCAATGGAACCAAAATGCATCTTAAGAACTCACTCTGTGCTCAGCTTTATGCCAGGCACCTTTAGGAACAAAGGGAAGGGGAAACTTCACCTCCTCTAAAGAAGTGTATGGTTTAAAAGAGGAATTAGACATCAAGAGAAACTACATCTTTCCTAGGTCCCTGAAAGGAGGAGGTACTCTGGAACAGACTTTTTAATTAAGTTAAAAATATTCATGTAGATCATGGTTTATAAAGAAACTTACACACACATTATCTTATTTCATCTATGTCATGCCTCTGTGGGGTGGACAATGTCAACTCTATTTTACAGGTAAGGGAACTGAGGCTGACAGACAGAGGGAGAAGCCCCAGCTCCCAGCCAGTGCCCCATTCACTTCCCTGTCTGTCTCCACCTGGATACACTAATAACAATATAAGATGCTAAACCTGCTCATTCCATCCACACTGTATACAAGAGAGTCTCGTTTTATCCATTATTGAGCCACTGTCTTAGTATTTGTATTGCTTTTTCACTTAAAAATTAAAAAAAAAAAGACACCAAACCCTTTTTAAGAACACTGTTAACACTGACCCATCTATCCCAGCAGTCCAGAAATGATAAATGGCATTACCAAAGCCCTCTGTGAAGGCTACCTTTATGGATGTCTCCCCTGACCCGATACCAACTCAATTGCATTCAGCATTTCTGCTGACCACAGGGAAATGCAAAATGGGCATTCTATTTGCTCACTAATTTTACTGAGCCCCTGTGTCTTCATAAAATGATAACGTGGGGCTAATAAAAATCAAGCATCTCGGGTGCTAATATAAGCAAATGTTGATGCAGGCAGGTAACAAATTGCTTTGTCATTTAGGAGGCCGTAAAAGAGCATTATAATCATCTTTAGGCAAAATGGATGGGTCGCCTTTGCTTAGCTTTTAGCTTTCATTTGCAAAATCAATTTAAGGTAATGTAGCAGCTCTGAGGTGGTGTGACATGGGACACCATCCTCCCTCCTGTCACTGAATCCCCAGACTCGTACACAGCCAATTAAACATATTCTTGGTGAAGGAAGTGGGGATGATGAGAAAGTATGTTTGTACAAAGCCAGGGTAGAAAAGAAGCTGAACAAGACCAAGAACAACTCATAAATGATAGTGAAACTGGAAGCTCATTGGTGGTGACATTTCAAGGACACAAGGGAACATTCAAGTGAAGTGGGGCAGCCACACTATTCTCCCCAGGTAAAAAGGTGTTTGAAGACAGAAGTGCACTGTGTAGCTCAACAAATAACACATACACACACATACACAAAGTCATCCCTTTTGTTAGTATATCCCTCTACCATCTGCTATTTCCTTATTCATGAAATACTTACTGAATATCTATTAGGTGGCTAGGCACTGTTATTATTTTCATTTTACAGAAAACCAAGGCCAAGAGACATTAAATTCCTTGCCCTAGTTCTCACAGCTAATGACTGCAGAACCAGAGACCCCAGCTAGGCAGTCTGACTCCAGAAATCTGTGTTCATAACCTCTATGCTATTCTGGACAATACTATTAACTGGTTACAAAAGCAATTTAGTAATATTTATTCAGAACTTATTCTGTGTCAGGCACTTTACACATCATTTCTAAAAAGTTTTCATGGACCCCAACACCACATCTACTAATCTTACCCCCACTTTATAGATTAGGAAATTGAGATCCAGAAAGTTTAAGTGATTTGTCTAAACCTGTATAAGTAGCAAATACAGAAGCTTACAGGGGCTGGGGCTGGCACTCTAGGCAAGGGGGCAGGTAGACAGTCTTGGTTGGGGGTGGGATTTAGGGGTAGTAGGCTAATAGTAGGAACACTCTTTCTACCACCATCTGTCTTTTTTTTTTTATAGAGGCATGTTTTATTTATTTATTTGTTTGTTTGTTTTGTTTATACATGCACTGGGTACAGTCAGAAGCACGGGAGGGTGAGAGAATTCACCAGAGCCAGAGCAGGGAGCAGAGCAGGCAGAAGGACCGAAGTACACTGCTGAGGGGAGCAGCAGGCAGCAGGAGAGGTCTACGTGCCATGTGGGACCCTCCTCCAGTGGCCGGGGAGCAGCCGGGGATCGAACCGGCACCGCAGAGGTCGCCGGCAGATTCACAACCCAGCGCTCAACCGCTGCGCCACGGGGGAGGCCCCATACCACCATCTGTCTTGATCCTAGCATCCTCCAAATGTCTCCAGAAAGTTGTAGCCAGAGCTACCTGCCCAGAATACCTGCTGAGGTTGGGTCTCTGGGAAGCAGTGGGAGACTCTGCTCACACATTTTCACATGTGAGTTTTCTGGGGATTGCTCTGGGGACACTTGCAGAGGTGAGAGCTCAGCAGGATTGGGACCATCAACAGAAACTAATCAATTTCAAGGAGAGCTCTGGGCCAGGAGGACCCCTCATAGTTGCTTCAGGAGGCAATGCTATGTCTTGCGTCGATTAGATTTTGGATGCTGGCTGCCCCTAGGGTAGGGCCATCACCTTAGGCAAGTGGCTGCCTTGAGCTGAGTGCAATTTCCAGGGATGAACTCGGCTGTGAGCTGTCAGCCACCAACACTCTTGGGAACTGAGGGAATTGGTCCTGAAGGGGGCTGAGGGGTGCAAACCCCAGCTGCTCCACCAGCCTTTACCTGAGATAGTGGAGGAGAGGAGGGCAGACCTGAGCCCCACAAACAAGCAGGTTGATGATGAAGGATTTTCTTCTTTAGTTCAATCCAATATATATTTTATAACATGGACCATATGCCAAACTCTGAGATGGTCTGTGAGGACATGAAGACGAACCAGATACCATTCCTGTTGTTCAAAAGCTCTGATACTCTGGTCTCATGGCTATAAACTTAACTTCTAGAATCAGACAGAAGGAGGGTCCTTCTGTCTGCTAAATCCTGCTACACATGACCTTGAGCCCAAGGTCATTTGCTGCAAAATGAGTAAATTTTATCCACCTCATAGGAATCTTGTAAGAATTTAATGAAAGAGGGCCTCCCCTGGTGGCACAGCGGTTGAGCTCTGGGGCTGCAAAGCTGCCCACAGCCTCTGCAGCGCCAGTTCAATCCCCAGCCACCAGTGAGGGTCACACATGGCACGACAGACCTCTCCTGGCTGTGCCTGCTGCTCCCCTCAGCAGTG